AGGGGATCAATGTAACTTGGCATTATCGCGGTGCAGATCTTGAATTCGGTTCTTGGCAAGCTACAGAATTACAAGTCAACCTAGAGAGGCAGTTGAGCCACATGCCATTATCAGTAAGTTCATCATTGTTATTATCTTAAAGCTTTTAGTTGTGTTAGACTATTAATTATTCAATTCTATTTTAGATCATCCTAGGTAATAAAACTTTGGAAGTACGTCCCTTAGCTGTTGATAAGGCAACCGCAGTTAGAGCCATTATGAAAGATATACAGTTTACACAGGATGAAGTAGATTTCGTACTCTGTATTGGTGATGGACAAACTGATGAACCGGTATTTGCCTTACTGAAAGAAAATTTTAACGATTGTTTTACGAGTACTGTCGAAAAGAAACAAACAGATGCTAATTATTACCTTGAGAACATTTCGGAGGTCCAACAAGTGTTGGAAAAATTGGCATCTGACTTATAAGGAAAAACAACGAGTGCATTTATGTCGGTTATGGTATTAATGATGATAGTTGTAATTAATTATAATAGTGTGCTAAGAAATTAACTAATTTTTTAGAATCTTGTTAATTATCGCTACCTTCGATAATTTATCATTTATTATTTATTAAATAAAATCGCTACATTTCTGAACGTAGTCCGTAGTCGCGTCACATAACAAAAGTAATCCAAACCCTATCCTATACTTTACAATAATCACTATTCTTAATGCAACCATTACCCCACTAATATACACTAACCTTAATCTTTTCATAGTGACGAATGTTTCTAGATGTCGTTTCGTAACCCAAACCCCAAGCGTTATTTAGGAAATAACCTTAGACAACGTAAACAATCGCCGCGAAACTTAACACGAACCTAGTATAAATCCACCAAAAACGTCGTAGCTATATGAATATCGAAATTATGGATGATTTACGGCAGACGGTATGGCGAAACGTTTTTAATATTTTCGCCATTTCACTTCAAAATAGCTTATAACGAACCTATTTTCGTCTGTCGAAATTATTATTGACTGTCGAAAATCTTATACAGTATTTACGCGAAATAACGCACATATGCGTTATTTCGAGTACGCGCATGGGCGTTATTTCGAGGTACAGGATACACCCCAATCACTGATGGTAAATATCAAGGGACGCACATGGGCGTTATTTTGAAACCAACTATGCTATTTTAAGGAAATGCGATTTTCAAAATAACGCCCATGTGCGTTATTTCGCGTAAATACGGTAATTGTCAAAAATATTAGGCCATACAAACTTAATAAATTGGTTCTCATAATCCGGCCGGGTTAAATTTCACAAAAAATTTGACTATATTTATTATACGGGCGAGCTTTTTTAAAAGTTTTATGTTATGAGAACCGATGCATCAATTTTGTATGGCCTTATAGACTGTCGAGATAATTTATGGCAATCGTTATTAGGATCGTGAAATGTAAAATTTAGAAATAATCTGAAAAAAAATGAACGAACACAAAAAACGAGCAAGGGCTCATAGGATATTCTTATGGTTGGCTGATGTAAATCCATTGCCGGGTAACTTATTTATACCTTTTAAAATAACGGATCACTAATAAAAAAAATAATTTTTTAATGTTAGCTTCGCAAAAGCGTGAATATTCACTATACAAAATAATCAAGAAAAGATCAGGTACGTATTATTTTATAGAAAATCGTTTCACGACATGTATTATATAGTAATCAATTTATAAATAAGTTTGTTTTAAAAATTTATAGATAGTTATTTTATAAACAATCTTTAACAATGAATAAGTTCTAATCTACTAATCTGTTTTGGATAATTTGATTTTATAAACAATCTTTAACAGTGAATAAGTTTTAATTTACTAATCTGTTTTGGATAATTTGATTATCAAAATAGTTATCAAGTCAATTGTTTTGGTAATTAAATTATTTAAAAAGAACTAATAGATTAGAAGTTTTTTATAGTTAAAGATTGTTTATAAAATAAACTATTTGTAAAATAAACTTTTTGAAATAAATTTGTATATAAATTAATTGTTTATATAATAAAATAATTTTTTATAAAATATATATTCAAAATATATTTATTATTTATTGAATAATATCAAATTATATTGTAATTAAAAATATTTTTATTTAAACCTATTTTATTATATTAAATTTTTATTAATTTAGATAGTAAAGTTTGGGTATAGGTGATTTCAAATTGTTATATAGATATAAGTGTAATAGTATTATTAGAATTTTTTTTTTTTTTTAAATATTAAGGTGACTACTTTGGGGTCTGGCATGGTTTATTAACTTCTTAGTTCAATTATCAGGATGTCGAATAGGCATCTCTTGATTTTGTTACATCAATGAGAGTACAATTAGTCACATATACAACTTTAGTCATTGTTTAATTAAAGGCTCTGCTATATCTATTTCTATTTATAGTTACCCACCAATTGCCATACCTAGGATCTGCTTGTGGATCCTCTATTTAAACCTTCTGATCAATTTAGTTCGTCAGATGCTTTCCCCAGAAGAATTTTTGCTACTAAAACCTTTAGAACTACTTTATCCTTATAGTAAATCTACCAGAGCAGTCTATGTTTCACATAGATCACCTAGATTTTTTGGTAACATATGCTCCAATCCAAGGATTGGAACTTGTAATTTTCTGCATTATTACTGTTACCTACTTCTTGCCTTTTACAAGGTTTATTCTAATTTTGATATCCACTTCCAACTGGCCCTTATATCGATTTTTTTTAACTACCAAACCAGTTAGCCTGGAAAGAGCAGCAGGGAGGGTGAGCAGACTTTTTTGTGTGTTTTTACACCTTCTCTTTCATGAGTTTTTTTCGTCAGTTCATTAAAATTGATACTAATTTTTTGGTATTTTTATACGAAGCAAACATAAATCTCTCATCATTTGACTGACGAAGCAAACATAAATCTCTCATTAATCACATCGTTATTCGTATGAAAAC